CCATTTGGGTCAATGATCATCAAGCAACGCATTTCAAGAAGATATAAGCTTACTATAAGTCTATTAATAATTTGGGCAAAAAAAATGTKGGATTAATTCATTGCGTCATTTGTTCCATCTTTTTAATCAAAATTTCCCTTAATATGTGGGATAATTCCAAAAACAAATATTCAAATACTTGTTTTTAATATATAAACATTCCTGATGATGACTACTAGTCAAAAACGTCAAATTTCTTTTTTCTTATTGTAAATATCCTTATTTTTCTTGTATATAATTTGCACAGCATATTATGTCACAGATAAATGTATTTGTCATATATTTGTATTGCTATGAAGGGCATTTTCACGCAAGCATTGAGACACATGTATAATGCGTTTGAGAAATAAATTATTTTTATTATTAAGTGGCACTTTAATTTTTCTACCTTTATATAAGCTGTACAGGTTCATTGTTCGAAAGGCAACACTAAATCGATAGATTTACTACAAAAAAAGACAGATTGTGCTCACACAATGCACAATCCCCATTTAGTTATACATCTGGTTTTATCATTGTAATTCCTGTTAATCAAAATAAGAACCACATACATTGTATTAAAAGAATGTCTGAAGCATCTGGAATATACAGTTCAAAATATTAAGTACATTTTCCTTTTTGACGAGTTTCTTGATATCCTTAAGTTCATGTGATGTACAGACAGGATGTGTCAGCTTTAGTAAAGCATACGTGGAGTTCTCTCTTTGTGCATCAAAGAACTGCAAAAAATATCAACAAACTAATAAATAATGTAAAACATTTTCTTTGCATATTATAAAATTTGGAATGCCTATAAGAAAAAGAGAAATGTTGTCAATCATATGGTAAAAACTGCTAAGTCTAAATACTACTGTGACTTGATCGAAGATGCCGGTGGAGATTCAAAACGTATCTGGAAAGCAGTTAATGAAGCCTGTAGTCGAAAACCTAATTCTAATTCCCAGTCTATACAATGCATTGTTGCTGACGGCGTTCACTATCTTACACCTAAATCTATTGCAACTACGATGAATAAATTTTTCTCGAGTATTGGAAAAGTGCTGGCTGACAAAATAACATCCTGCACAAGTCCCTATCAGTATTTCAACTGTAATTGTAACGAGGGAACTCTTTTTCAACTAAAGGAGCTTGATGAGTCGTCTGTGCTTCAACAATTGCTTGCTCTGAAGCCTAACAAAGCTATTGGATTAGACAAAATCAGCTCGAGATTATTGAAGTGTGCTGCTCTCACAATTGCACCATCGATTGCTAAGCTTCTCAACGCTTCTATCCGTTCTGGCTAATTTCCTGGAAATGTTCAAAAATAAGAGCGTTGTTCAAATCTGGTGATAGGACCAATGCATCTAACTATCGACCGATATCTATTTTGCCAACTCTGCGTAAACTTCTAGAACGTGCTGTTCACGCCCAACTCTATGAATATTTGAGTACAAATGATCTTCTTTCGAACAAGCAATTTGGTTTTAGACGTGGCTCCTCTACTGTATCGACTTTATCAGCCTTCTCTGATGAAATGTTGCTGAACGTGGAAAACGGAAAAATTTGTGGAGCTGTGTTTCTTGATCTCACGAAAGCTTTTGACACTGTTAGCCATGATACACTTCTATCAAAATTATCAGCAATTGGAGTAGCCAACAATACGCTTCCTTGGTTCCGCTCTTATCTAAGTAACAGAAAACAAAGAGTAAGCTGTGGAACAGAGCTATCTGAGGAACTCCCAATCACTTATAGGGTACCCCAGGGAAGCATTCTGGGTCCTCTGCTATTCAATGTCTACATCAACGATTTACCGAATTCACTGAAATATTCGCATGGGACACTGTATGCTGATGACACAGTAATATTTTGTTATGGGTCTAACACGCAGGAGATAAAAGAAAAACTGAATGAGGACTTGTTATCCGTGGCTAAATGGCTAAAAGGAAATAAACTAACTCTGAATCTCGACAAAACTAAGTGTATGCTTATAGGTAGCAGCAGAAAAATTTCAAATTCTAGCCTTTCTGTATCTATTTTGAATCATGGAATTGATTCTACAGATAGTTTTAAATATCTAGGTATTATCATTTCATCTGACTTCACATGGTCAGAACATGTGTATTATATAGGAAAATTAATCAAAGACTAAGTCTTCTTAGGAGAATCAAGCATCTATTACCTTTTAAATCCCGTCTTTTATTTTATAATTCTTTAGTTCTACCTCTATTCGACTATGCAGATGTTGTTTGGGGAGATAAGAACAATGCAACAATTATGGGCAATCTCCAGACTTTGCAAAATAAGGCCGCTAAAATAATATTAAATAGACCTCTTTACTCTTCATCCATAGAAGCGCTTAACGCTTTAAAGTGGCTACCTTTGTCTAAAAGACGTCATTACAGGCGATGTATTTATATTTACAAATGTATTCAAGGTTTAGTAAGCCATCATTTAAATTTAGAGCGTCAACAGGATCATCATAATTACAATACCAGGAACAATGATCATTTTAGACTTCCCAGTATAAAACGAAACTGGGGTAAGCAAAGACTGAGCTACCATGCAGTTAGTGATTTTAATCTAATACCAAAGGAAATTAAAAATTCAAGTTCTATTCAGGTTTTTAAACGTAAGATCTTAAATTATTTTTTTGCCTAGATATCTATGATGTAATGTTATATTTCTTGTAATAGTTATAATTCGTATTTTTAGTAACAATTATAGTTTTAAGACTTTTAATTACCTCATATTTTTTATAGCCGTTATGATATAGTTTTTCAATATAGTTAGCTTTTTAATCTTATAGTTTAATTTTAGGAGGTCCTTTTTGAAAACCATTTCTTTGTAAATGAAAAAGTTTCCTCAATAAAGATTATTATTATTAT